AAAAAAAAAAAAAAAAAAAGAAACCAAATGGATGGAGTCAGGAACATGGATAAGAGTTTGAAATAGAAGATTTTTTTTTCTGAGCTAGAAGAATAGGTGAAAATGAAGAGTGTGGATGTTTTCACAGGCCTAGGGTGTGGAAGGTAGGTGGGGGCACTTGAAGCTGCTGAAATTTGAAAAATTGAGGAATGGAGGAAAAACTAACCAGAGACAGGTAAGAAAGCTATAATGTGATACAGAAATGAGACTAGTTGAAACTGAAACTCTCGTATTTTGGGGAGCAACAATTTTTCCCACTCTATTGATATTCCACAGCTTCTGCTATGAATACATTCATGCACAGGATGACAAAATTTTAACAGTATAATTCTTCGAGAGTTAATGAAGAAAGAAAATTACATTGTAATAAATACTTCAAAAAGCATGTACCAAGTGATAGTAGAAGATAGCTAACTTAAAACAACAATTGGTACAAAGCATCCCGTTGTTTAGCAACATTTCAATTATAAATAAAAAATAATGTGGGCGAGCCCAATGGCTCAGGCCTGTAATCCTAGCACTTTGAAAGGCTGAGGCAGGTGGATTTCGTGACCTCAGGAGTTCGAGACCAGCTGGGCAACATGGTGAAACCTGGTCTCTACTCAAAATACAAAAAATTAGCTGGGTGTATTGTTACATGCCTGTAGTCTCAGTTACTTGGAAGGCTGAGGCATGAGAATCACTTGAACCTGGGAGGCAGAGGTTGCGGTGAGCCAAGATCACGCTACTACACTCCAGCCTGGGCAACAGAGCAAGACTCTGCCACGCCCCAAAAAATAAATAAAAATAATGTGGAAAGTAGAGTATAATTAATTGAAATGGTTAATCTATTTTTAAAAATGGACAACTGAAGGCCCCAATGTAAGAACTTAGTATGCATAAAACAAAAACTAAAAACAAAAATTTCAAAACATCTGAATGCTAAAAGAAAAACCATCACAAACAAATTCAAAAGACAAATCTGGAAAGTTTACATCAAGTAAGATAAAGCATTAAAAAATTTTAAGCTACAAAGAATTGTTCATACTCTAAGAAAATTAGAAAAGAAAAAGGAAAAATCTCCACTAAGAACCAAAAAGGTAACAGGACAAAGATGACAAACATAATTCACAAGAAGAAAACCATAGAGTTTGCTTGAGATAAAAATATGATATGTGAAAACAAAATTTATTTCTTCCTAATCTAGTAAACTAATAAAACTGGAACAACCTTTCTGAAGGACAATTTTGCAATGTTTCATAAGTCTTGAAAATATTTAGACTTATTAATTCATTTTCTTTGACTTCATTTTTAAGGGATTTTCCTTAAACAGATGTAACAAAAATTTACATATAAAATTTCACACAATGTTACTTATAATAATAAAATAACTACAAAAAACTTGAATATCCAACATTAAGAGAATGCTTAGTATCATCTTATGTTAAAAATGAGTAGGAAAAATACTAGAGAAAGGAATCCAATTGTGTGATTTAGGCTTCAGACTTTTTTTTTTTTTTTTTTTTAGACAGAATTTCACTTTTCTTGCTCAGGCTGGAGTACAGTGGTGTAATCTTGGTTTACCACAACCTCTACCTCTTGGATTCAAGCAATTCTCCTGCCTCAGCCTCCCGGGTAGCTGGGATTAGAGGCACATGCCACCGTGCCTGGCTAATTTTGTATTTTTAGTAGAGAGAGGGTTTCTCCATGTTGGTCAGGATGGTCTTAAAACTCCCAATCTCCCATGATCCACCCACCTCAGCCTCCCAAGTGCTGGGATTACAGGCATGAGCCACCGTGCCTGGCTAGACTTTTCTTAATTGTGTGGTAAAGGGTTTTCTCCAACAAAGGAAATAATATAAATATTGATATGTACCTTTTCATTAAGGCAGTCAATTAAATTTTCCACGTAAATTTTCATGCTTTTATAGAATTTACAATTTAGAGCTTGATTTGATGAACTTTCTAGGTTCTGGATAGTACTCTTTGAGCTTTTGACATCCTGTACATATTTTTCATATTCCCTCAGGTGTGAGCGGTGAGTTTCCTGTAGTAAAGTTAATCTAAATAAAAAAAAATAAATAAAATTTATTTTTCAAAATTTTTTAAAAGTAGCGATCTAATGCAAATATTTTCAAAGACCACCAAGGAAACTGACAATCATATAAATCTGGATTTTTAGACTTGACAAGCAAAGAGCACAACAATAAAAGAGGAAACCCCTTTAGCACTTGCTTAGGCTAAATATTCTCTCTTCAAGTTTTCTTGCATTTATCTTTCATAATCTTTCTTCGCTTTATATAAAGGACAGTGAGAGTTAAGAAATTAATCAAGATGATAATATATAGTAGGCATTATTAATAAAATGCTTCAATTAAGTAAAATATTGACTATAGCAGTGAACTTTTAAGTAAATACTACATGGAAAAAGCTAGGTACAGAGAAGGGTATACGATGTGTTTCCTTTTTTGTATAAAAACAGAGGAATATATAAGCATATATGTGCTTGTAAAGCTATACATACAGACCACTTCTGGAAGAAAACATAAGTAACTGGCAGTGGCTAGGCATGATGGCTCATGCCTATAATCCCAGCACTTTGGGAGGCTGAGGTGGGTGGATCACCTGAGGTCAGGAGTTTGAGCAGCCTGGCCAACATGGTGAAACCCCGTCACTACTAAAAATAAAAAAAAATTAGCCAGGCACGGTGGCAGGCGCCGGTAGTCTCAGCTACTCGGGAGGCTGAGGCAGGAGAATTACTTGAACCTGGGAGGTGGAGGTTGAAGTGAGCTGAGATCATGCCACTGCACTCCAGCCTGGGCAACAGAGCAACACCGTCTCAAAAAAAAAGAAAAGAAAGAAAGAAAGAAAAGAAAGAAACTAATAGGAATGGTTTCCTCTAGAGAGGTTAATTTCCTTTGTTCTGTATATCCTTTCTACTGGTTATTTTATTTTTTAATCATGAGTGTATGGTCTTTTTAAAATGAAAAACTTAGTTAATAAAAAATATAATAAAGTATCCAGATAAAATAAAATGCTACTATAAATCAATTATCTGCTAGCTCTTTTCTATCTCTCATGCAAGGTTATCTTTGTATTCTGGGGCTTGGCAAATTATTAGCCCATCCTTTGTTTTTGTAAATAAAGTTCTATTGGAAAATAGCCATGCTTATATGTTTACATATTGTCTATAGCTGTTTTCATGCTATAACACAGAGTTGAGCAGTTAAAACAGTAATCATCTGGCCCTTAAAGCCTAAAATATTTACTATGCAGCCTTTTACAAAAAAAGACGCTTGCTGACTCCTGTTCTAGATCAAAATGTGCAACAGAGAAATACTTAATTACGATATAACAACTACTTGGACAAACATGACAGTTTTTTAAAAAATTAAAGGCTATTCGGTAATAAAGATGCTTAAAACCATATTAAATAAAAAAGTAGAATTTTGTATTTACTGATTTTAACCATGTAAAGTATGTTATAAAGACTAAAAAAGACAGGGTAGTACCCCCTTAATCATGGGGACACGTTCCAAGACCCCCAGTGAATGCAAATAATACTGAAGCCTATATATGCTGTTTTTTTCCCCTACACATACATAACTATGATGAAGCTTAATTTATATATTACATACAGTACTTTTGTACTCTGGGGCCATTATTAAGTAAAATAAAGGTTACCAGAACGCAAGCACTGTGATACTGCAATAGTCCATCTGGTAACGAGGAAGGTTACTATGTGACTAACAGGCAGTTGGCTTACAGAACAAAAAGATGCTGGACAAAAGGATGATTCTCATCCTGGGCAAGATGAAGCAGGGTAGCTGAGATGTCATTACACTACTTAGAAGACCATGCAATTTAAAACACATGAATGATTTCTGGAATTTTCTATTTAATATTTTTGGACCATGGTTTGACCACTGATAACTGAAACTATAGAAGGCAAACATACAGATATGGGGGGGACTACTGTATACAAAAATGTAATCAATTGTGTTAGTGTAACACAGGAGATCCTTTTTTTTTCCCTACAAGTCTGTTTAATATTAAAACTTAATAATCTAAAAGAATATAATGCTATATCTTCACTATTAGATATCTAGGACAAATGTAAATTTCAAAATGAGTATTACTCACCTAGTATTTAATTGCTTCTTTATAATTTCTAAATTTACTGGTGGAAATGAAATGGAAGTATCAAATTTCTTCACTTTTGAAGATCCGCAGCTATGGGAAAGATCTACGTCTCTTTCCTAAAAACAAACAAACAAAAAAAACCATAGATTTTTAAAAAACCATTCAATTTACCTTATATACATTAATACATGAAAAGGGATGATCCACAGTCCCTTCAAGCTAAAGAATTCCATGCATTTGTAATTTTTCATGGTCCCAATAAAATGTTTTTAAATTCACAGTTTTACATTTTAGAAGTTAAAATTCACAAATTCTAAAAATCACATTTTTTAAAAAGCTTAGTTTTGAGGCTAATTTTGGTTATCATCTAATGTACTCTCAGAAAGTCACCCAGTTTTTGAAGAAATAACAATCCTTTGTGAATATTAATTTGTGGGGTAGACAGACCTGTCTGGCTGACCTAACACCTATTTCCATGATAGAAGTATCTATTTAACTTCAACTCCATTCCAGTCAATGAAAACTAAATGGAAGTCCATGGGAGGGTTTGTAGGTAAAGTTTTTACTTTTCTTTAAGACACTTGGGTTTTCTGTTCCTTGTAAAGAATTGCACTCCTAACTTATAACATGGTATATTCTATATTAATGTCCTCTGTCTAATCACAGCTCATCACCACCATGCTTGGAATGTGCAAAAGATCCTGAAGAACCTTTGTTTTAGACAAAGACACACGAAAAAAATCAAGCAGATATTTAGCCAATTTCACTGGCTTAGCTACTCTTTTTATATTTTCCATGAAGCATCATCTTTTCTCATTTCAGTTCTCACCAAGCCTCCCATCCAGCACTACTCATATCTACAAATCTCCAAACATTCTTGATATTTTACAGTCAATGACCCATTCAAATATCACCACTTCTGTAAAGGCTTTCTCACACTTGCTCATTTACCTTTCCTCCTATAAAACTGACCACCCACTTGCTCCTCTGTGCCACCTTAGGACCCTGCAGAGAGTTCTCTCACAGAACCAGTAGGATTTCACTATAATTATTTTGTTTAGCTGTCTCCCTTCCTGCAAAGGTTGTATATCTTTGTAAGTGGCTGTAGCAGGCTAATGGTGACCCCACAAAAAACATGTGCATGTTCGATATACGGCAAAAGATGTAATTAAGACTTTGAGACTTGGTGCATAGCCTGGATTATCCTGATAGGGCCTGAATACAATTACATGTACCATTCTAAGAGATAGGGAATTTTAGGACACAACAGAAGACACAGATGTGAAGATGGAACAGAGAGTGATGTGGCCGCAAGAAAAGGTATGCAAACAGCCACCAGAAACTAGAAGAGTCAAGTAGTGGATTCTCTTCTAGAGTTTCTGAAAGCAGGGTTGCTCTACTAACATTCTGATTTTGGACTTCTGGCCTCCAGATTTCAGAGAGAATAAACTTCTCTTATTTTAAGCCACTAAGTCTGTGGTGGTTTGTTAAAGGAGTCACAGGAAAGTAATACAGTGGCAAATACGTAATGGATTTTCAATAAAGGAATCAGTAAATGTACTCATATAAGTAATAAAAATGCAAATCAAGTGTGAGATTCCCTTTTCACCAATTATATACTTATAGTTGAAGAGGGCAAGTTTATGGTAAAATATTCCCATGATATTGGAGACATTACAGATTGAGCTGTTTTCTTTAGAAGGCAATAGAGAAAAATATACTAAGTGCCATAAAAATGTTCATCTCTTTAGTAATACAATTCTTGGCACTTTTTAGAAAGGAATAGTTCAAAAACACACATCTGAACAAAAGAAAGGAGAGGAGGAAAAACAACTAAATCTTCACTGATTATTATCTGTTAATAGAAAAAAAATCAGATTGCAAATAACCTAAAAATATCCAAAATAAAGAATGGTTAATAAGATTATGATTCAGTGACTCCAGTGAATATTATGAAGCTATTAAAATTGGTTATTATAACTATGTAAAGAAAAGAGAAGGTACTTTATTATATGTCAAGCAAGGAAATCAGAATTCAAAACTGAATGCATAATGTGGTTCCTAAACTGTGTGCAAAGGCATCCTAGCAAATTCAAAGGGGTATAGTGAGACATTTTAAATATTTTAGGGAAACAATGTAATACTCAACATCTGCTGGACTAATAGCTCTTAGTTCACAGTTACCTTAAAATGTGTTCCATATGGTCAGACATGGTGGCTCATGCCTGTCATCCTAGCACTTTGGGAGGCTGAGGTTGGCAGATTGCCTGAAATCAGGAGTTTTGAGACCAGCTGACGCAACATGGTAAAACCCATCTTTACTAAAGACGAAAAAATCAGTTGGGCATGGTGGCGTGTGCCTGTAGTCCCAGCTACTCAGGAGGCTGAGGCACAAGAATTGCTTGAACACAGGAAGCAGAGGTTGCAGTGAGCCGAGATCATGCCACTGCACTCCAGCCTGGGCAACAAAGCGAAACTATCTCAAAAACAAAAACAAAAAGAATGTGTTTCATTCCTTTTGATGAAGTCATATTTGTGGAGCTTGATTTTGGGAGGATGCTATGATATAAAATAAGTATTATGTGAATGTCAATATGGAAATGAGAGTGGCAGTGTCCAACCTGATTCCAAGGTTTGAAAAGTCATGCAATATCTAACAGGAGCACACATCTCATTAGTAAGAAATTTTGGTTATTTAAAAATAAAGCAAGCCAGGTGTGGTGGCTCAGGCTGGTAATCCCAGCACTTTGAGAGGCCAAGGCACGTGGATCACTTGAGGCCAGGAGTTCAAGACCAGTCTGGCCAAAATAGTGAAACCCTGTCTCTATTAAAAATACAAAAATTAGCCAGGTGTGGTAGTGCATGCCTGTAATCCCAGCTACTAAGGAGGTTGAGGCAGAAGTACTGCTTGAACCAAGGCGGGTGGAGGTTGCAGTGAGCTGAGATCACACCACTGCCCTCCAGTCTGGGCAACAGAGCGAGACTCTGTCTCAAAATAATAATAAAAATTTTTTGCCTTCAATTTATTTGTATTATTTTTCCAAATGGTTAGTTCTTAGGACATAAACTATGTAAAATTCTTTGGACTTAACTACTTAATGAATACAATTGTTTGGTACTTCTTTTGACTTACGAGCACCATGATAAAATAACCAAGACACTACGGGCTCCATGAATGAGAAAGTTTGGGAAACTCTAATGTACACTGACCGCAAACTCTAATGTATACTTATAGAGCTTATATTCCAGCAGCAGACTCAGAGCCCAAATCTACAACTTTTAACCCCCAATACAGTACATTTTTGTTTCTTAGGTTTGTTTCAAAGCTCACTATTTGTTTAAACTTTATATTCATTCATTTATTCATTCGTTTTTAGTGACAGGGTCTCATTGTTGCCCAGGCTGGAGTGGAGTGGTGTGATCATAGCTCACTCCATCCGTGAACTCCTGGGCTCAAGTGATCCTCCCATCTCAGCCTCCCAAGTAGCTGAGACCATAGGCATGCCCCACCATGCCTGCCTAGTTTTATTTATTTTTTGTAGAGCTCAGGTCTTACTGTGTTGTTCAGGCTGGTCTCAAACTACTGGGCTGAAGTGATCCTCCCGCCTTGGGCTTCCAAAGTGCTGGAGTAACAGGTGTGAGCCACTATGCCTGGCCAAATCTGTGCTTTAGTGTTGATGTTTTTTTCTTAAATGAGACAGAGTCTCACTCTGTCACCAAGGCCGAAGCGCAGTGGCACAATCTCGGCTCACTGCAGCCTTGACCTCCTGGGCTTAAGCGATCCTCCAACCTCAGCCACCGCAAGTAGCTTGGACTACAGGTGTGTGCCACCATGCCTGGCTAGTTTTTCTATTTTTTGTAGAGGCAGGATTTCGCCATGTTGCCCAGGCTGGTCTTGAACTCCTGGACTCAAATGATCCAAGCCTCAGCCTTTTGGGCTTTGGTTTCTAATAACATTTTTAGGGCTTCATAGTATCCCATCCTACTGTATTGTACCAAGATCCCCATTGTTGGATATTTGTTTACATCTTTTTAAAAATTAAATAAAACACAAAAATATATTTGTGTATGCAGAAATGTAACACAGTTATGTATCATAATATAGGTATAGTGTATTTGGGCATAATATTTACCACAGGGTTCACTACAATAAAAAATTCTCTGAGAAATCACATAAATGTCAAATGAGATTTAATATATACATGATAATACATCTATTCACTAGATTGCTATGAAATCATTAAAATGTAGTAGAAGTAGATATACTATTGTGGTGAGATGTCTCTGTTGTACTGTGAAGTAAAAAAAAACAGTTTCCAAAAGAAAACTGGATATATTTATATTATACAGAACAGGTATTTAAAAGTAAACTTTGAGGCCTAAACTTTTAAGTACCTGTATAATATAAACTGTCAATTACTAAAAAAATTAAAGCTTAAAAAGAAAAGTACCCTCAAGTGGAAGCTATTTATAATCTAGTGGAAAAATAACATAATATGCATAGTGCAGTGAGCTTAATGGAGGCCTCCCAGAAGATACATCCATGAATTAATCCTTGGAAAGTGTAAATATGACCTTATTTGGAAAAAGAGTACTTGTGGTTGTAATTAAGTGAAGGACCTTGGATTATCTGAGTGGGCCCTAAATCTAATGACAAGTATTCTTATGAGGAAAACACACAGTAGAGACATGGAGAAAGCCCACGTGAAGACAGAAGCAGAGATAGGAGTTACGTAGTACAAGGCACGAAACACATGGAGTGACTAGAAGTTGAAAAAAGTAAGGAAAAATTACCCCCAACACCCCAGGGCCTTTGGAGGAAGCAAGGTGCTGCCCACACCTTGACTTCAGATTTTGGCCTCCACGCTGTGAGAGAATAAATGTCTGTTCTTTTTGTGTGGGTCAAGATGGCCAGGTGGAGACCTATGTTAATTCTAGCTAAATAATTATAAGCTTGCTTGGCTCAGAGTACACGGAAGTTTATGTACCAAACTAAGCTACATTATTGGTGCAGTTAATTAGAAATTAAGTGGCAACAGAAGGCCTAAGGTAAAGACCATCGGAGAGCACAGTAACAACAGGTAACACCTCGCGGTGGCTGCAGAGCAGGCAAGATACTGCTGTGGTCCCACACATGCCTTCTCAACATAGAGACTGCACAAGGGCCTTGTAAAGAGGGCTTACGCAAAGATCTCTGAGAAGGCAGGCGACCTCTGCTCACAAGATCTGGGAGGGTCTTTGCAGAAGGGAGCTGGCAAGGAGGAGGAAAGCCTTGCAGGGCAGAGATCACAGGATACCTCATGCTCTGACTAGGTTCTCAGAATACGGAGTGATTTTAATTGCTCTATGTCCTCAATTCTCGGGAGATAAAAGCCCCTTGTTGCATTGGGAGTGGTCAGACCGGGTGGCTCCTCATCTGCTATACTTCTGATGCAGCTGCACTGTGATAACAATCGGTGATAAACTCAGAGTACCTTTAGCATGTCTTAGAAGGATCTCAAGTGCTCTCTCCACTTGGCTACCTTTCCTACTCCTTCACCCTCCCCTTCCATGCCCATAAGATCAATGAGATTGTGCACATAATAAAAGTGTTTGGAGCCCAGAGCTCAGGGCCAACATGTTTTCCACGCTTGCATTCGTCCCCTGGACCCATGCTGTAACTTCTCTTGTGTCTCTGTCTTTATTTCCTTTTCTCAATCCCTCGTCACTGCCGTCATTAAGAGCACCCACGTACGGGGTTGGGCTGGTTGCCAACATCTGGCGCCCAATGAACAGGGTATGGCACCCTATGAACAACACTCTTGTGTCACCGAGTTTGTGGTAATTTGTTATAGCAGCCACAGGAATCTAATATACATGGTATAAACAATGATTACCTCTACGATTTTAACTGCTTTCCTCATTTGTTGTTGTACCCAAATATCTTGCTTTTCATCCTCCTGGCTTTCTTCACTTGTTTCTTCATATCTGTTTTCTAGGGGGAAAAAAGTTCACATGTAAACGTTTAATATTTTTCCATTTTAATTGCAGCAGGCAACATTTTTTGAGCTTACTATATACAAGTTAGTATCACTTTACGTGTGTTACTTATTCTTCACAATAATTCTGGGAAGAAGGCACTATTATCGCCCTCATTTCACAAATTAGGAAACTCAGATATTGGGAGGTTAAATAACTGTCTTAAGACTATGTTGAAGCTGGAAGTTGGATCCTGGTATCTGACTCCAGAACCTGCCCTCTTATCACTAAACTGTTCCACTCAAAACACTACAACCCTAGAAATGTAAAAAACTGAGAAAGAGCCAGGCACAGTGGCTCAGGCATGTAATCCCAGCAGTTTGGGAGGCCGAGGAAGGTGGATCACCTGAAGTAGGGAGTTCGAGACCAGTCTGACAAAAATGGAGAAACTCAGTCTCTACTAAAAATACAAAGTTAGCCAGGCGGGGTGGCGCATGCCTGTAATCCCAGCTACTCGGCCGGCTGAGGCAGGAGAATTACTTGAACCCAGGAGGCGGAGGTTGTGGTGAGCCGAGATATTGTCATTGCACTCCAGCCTGGGCAACAAGAGTGAAACTCTGTCATAAAAAACAAACAAACAAACAAAAAACTGAGAAAGAATGAAATGTTTGGCTTTTCTTATCAAAGATCTCTCAATTACTACCTGAGAATCAAAACGCTTAAAAATAAGTTGATAAGGAACTAAGTCTCTTTTTGAAAAAATATTATTTAAGGTTACAAAAACCTTGGTAAAATGCATATATTATAAATGAGAAATGTGAAGAAATTTTTTATTATAGCAGAGATTTTAATACATGACATCTAAAATCTCTGTAGATGCTTCCATGTTAAAAAAAATTTATAAATGTGACAATGATCGTTTTCAATGTTTTGAAAATAAGACACTGCACATTTTTTTTAACCTGTCAAAAAAGATCAAGTGGGGGTCAGGCATTAATAACCATTATTACACATATTCCTTGATAATAACATTTTGATACAGACACATCCTTTAGAGGTCATAATATCACGGACTAAATTGATATTAAAAACCAATATCAACACAATCAATGTGTGTGAGACAGCACATTACATTTTTTATGGAGATTCTCTCATAATATTATATTCTAATGAAAAATAACCTAAGCTTCATATATTGATAAATACATACCTGATTCCTCAACCATCCTTTGTCTAAGTGTTTGAGGTTTCAGGGTAAATGGTATTCTCTTTTCATGGTCATCAGGCTCACTCTCAGGGTCATCTTCACTCTCTTTCTTCATACCAGAGATGGTGGAGGCATGTTCTACATCCAAAGAAATATAGTCATCTTGCACCCTGGCCAATTCACGTTTTCTGCGAGCTGCCTGAATAAAGGCTGCATCTGGGATCTCAACTGAAGGAAACAAAGAGGAGGACGCTAAAAACCAAAGACCAATATAAGTAAATATTCCTCACATTTAAGAAAAAGAAAAAAAGCATCATTTTCCTAAAGTATTTCTGAGAGCTGCGGAAGTTAAAAGAACCAATGACAGACCAGTCAGACTTACCAAGTAAGTGAGATACTATACTATGATGTCCTCCTTCCCTGTGGGTACCCACACTTGTAAGAAATCAGAAACAGACTACAAACAGCAACAGAGTAAAGCCAAGTCAACCTCTGGAGTTCTGTAGTGAGCACCACATGAATACATGAGACGTTACAAAGTGTAAAGAAAATAATCAGGTTCATTTACCAAGTCAAAAATTTAAATGACATAAATAAACTCTTAAGAGTCTTATCTTATTTTTTTCTTTGTTTTGTACAGTATAAACATCATTAGCATAAACTCTTACAATTTAAAACAAGGTTCTTCATGCGTGATCTAAGACGAAATTTATCTTCATTCTCGAAAAAACGGTTTCTTAAGAAAAATACTACATTAAAGAAATGGCAAGAGAAATTTTCACCATTTTAAGCACTTAAACTACTAAAGAGATGTCAAGCTACTGAGGCTCAAGTGAGTTTTCTAAATGTTCCCACAAATTGACCCAAATTGTTTAAAAAATAAACAGAAAAATGCCATGTATTTGGAGATACACAAAAGCTCCAATGTCTAAAACAAACAAAGAGATTTTAGAAATCACAGATCAATATGCTTGACATTAGCCTTAGGGAAAATTAAAAGTGCTTGAGTGAATCATGAAGCAATAAAGAAATCACTAGAAATCAATAAATATTTATCAAGGACAAGTAATATAAAATCAGGTGATTTACTTTTTTATAGACTAGTATTTATTTATAGACTACTGTCAGGGACATGATGAAGGTCAGGTATCTCTTCCTCCTTCCAAAGCATTTAAGATTCAAAATCATCACAGCAGGTTATGGTAAAAATTCTCAACCCTGGCTACACATCTGAGTCATCTGAGAAGCTTGACAAACTACTGATACCCAGGCCTCCATACCAGAGATTCAGATGTTGATCTGAGGCAGAGCTAATCAGAAGTATGTTTTTATAGCTCCCTAAAGGATTTTAATGTGTAGGCAGGGTTAAGATAAGACATTTAGGTTCAAATACTCAGGTGTATGAATAAGGACACAGAAATACTTATTTTGGAAGTGATCCACCTGCAAATGACTTGGTGGGGTTTAATTAGTAAGTCACAAGTAATGGGACTCACTAGTAAGATATTAGTGCTATGTAAAGGTAACCTCTCAAGCAAAAATAAAGAAGTAAAAGTTCAAAGAAGAGAAGAGTATTATTCCATCTGTCCTGTTTCTGCATATCCAATACCTAGTTCAACGGTTCTCACACAGCAGATGGTGGGCAGACATGGGATGAATCAATAAGGTCAGCATATCATTCAATAATAAATATATCATATTTTTACAGATTTACAACTCATGAATAATTCTTCATATACATCATCCTATCTGATATACAATCATCTAGGGCTGAGAGGTAAATTATCATCTCCTATTAGTAAAAAGCAATCTCTGCTAGAGGGACTATTTCAAGGCAGGTATTCCATCACTGAATTATTCTAATAGTTCTATCACCTGAATACAGAATAAAGGCTCTCCTTCCATATGCCAGCACCTAAAATTAACACATTCCTCCATCTTTTCTTCTCTAGCCAATAAGTCCTTTGAACTTTCCGGTGTTCCTCACAGGACAAGTTTTCAATTTTTAATCAGTGTTTCTCAATGGAGCATGGGGGAGGGGCAATTCACCATGCCAAACTGTTCTGCACTCCTGTAGGACATTTATCATCCCTTGCTTCCAGGGCACTATGTGCGAGCAACAACTCAGCCACTATAATTATTAAAATGGTCCCATACATTTTCAAAAGATGCCCTCTCTTCTTAGGTGGGCAGTGCTGCCAAAACACTTTACAATCACTTCTTTATGCTATTTAATATACCAACACCATCTTTTTTGGATTGTTTGTTTGAGATGGAGTCTTGCTCTGTCACCCAGGCTGGAGTGAAGTGGTGTGATCTCGGCTCACTGCAACTTCTGCCTCTCAGGTTCAAGCCCCCTGAAATACAGGTGCGTGCCATCATGCCCAGCTAATTTTTGTATTTTTAGTAGAAACGGGTTTTCACCATGTTGGCCAGGATGGTCTTGAACTCCTGACCTCAGGTGATCCACCTGCCTCGGCCTCCCAAAGTGCTGAGATTACAGGTGTGAGCCACCACACCTGGTTTAATCCACCATCTTGTATAGTAGCATTGTTTGCTACAGTAGTCACTAGGCCGATGTGACTATTAAAATATAACTAAAAATTCAATTTCTCAGTTGCACAATTTCTCAGTCCCACATTTCAAGAGCTCAACAGCCACTTGTGACTACTGGCTACCATATGGACAGTGAAGATAGAAAATTTTTCTAAACCACAGAAAATTCTACTGAATAGCACTGTATCCAGAATCTAGACAAGGCTTCGACTGTTTACTAGATTTCAATTCTTAATAGTGGCTTAATCACTTAATATTTCTGTACCCTGTGGACATGGAGCAGAAAAAAAAATTATAAGGTTACAGAGCTACTGGTTGTTGTTATTTAATAGGCTAATAAAGAAGCACTTATTACTGTATTACAAGCCTTATAAAATATATTTTAATAATTTGATTTCAATATAATTTGTTTCCCTTACAAAGCTACGTATTTTACTTTATTTTCTCATAAGGGATCTTAGGGTTCACTACACAGAAAAAGGACAAAACAAGTTATAAACCTCTCTAAGAGACCAGATAAATATTTTTGACTCTGCAGGCCATAAGGTCTTTGTTGCAACTTCTTAACTCTACTACTACAGTGCAAAAACACAAACAATAAGTAATTGAAAGACTGGGACTGTGTTTTAACAAAACTTTGTTTATAAAAACAGGTGGTGGACCAGATTTGCCAACCCCTGAACTACATTGATCTTTCTAAGACACAAAAACGTTCATGTCATCCGCATAAAATTTTCAGTGGTTGCCTAAGCCCTGCATAAATATGACTCCAACTTGTCTCTCCTGTTTTCTTTTCCTTAAACTCCCAACCAAATACTTTCAGCCAAACAGAGCTAGTTTTAGTTTCCTGCACATATTATATACCTTCTGTATAGAGTTTCAGATATGCTACATCCTATACCTGAAACATCCTCCATGACAAATTCTTACCATCTTTCAGGTATCAGTGTCAATCACCCAGTACAGCACACTGGTTAAGAAGAATACAGGCTCTAGAAAAGACTGGGTTTAAATCCTAGCTCTGTTACTTACAAGCTCTCTGACCTATGCATGTTAAAGTGTAATAAAAATGGGCAGTCAAGTTGGGCACTCTGACAACCATCATTAATAACCTACTTGCCCCATGTCACTAGAGTTTGTTATCAATAATAACTATATCAAAAACACTGTATTAAAAATAAAATTCTTAACCAAAATCATACAAATTACTAACCTGCTGATGAAAGTTCTTTTTCTCCAAGAGAGCTAGAGCTGTCAGAAGACAAACCCTGATCACCCTTACTTTCCGAGGAGTGATGTATTTCATCCTCTTCATCTGTTGACACATCAACTGTTGTGGATTCTAACAGGACATTTTAAAAACATAATAAGAGTCAAAATAATGGAATCAGTAATTGAAAATCTGAACAACACATGGCATATGTATAAAATGGTGTTTTAAACCTACTCCACATATTAAAGTAGACATACTGATCTACCTCCAACTTCCCATCTTCCTTAAACAACTGAATGATCTACTAAGTGTACAAAGATCCTATCTGTATTATCTAGGCATCTAATAATATATTTCCAAAAAGATGTAATGAGAAGAGGGAAGCAGGCATTAGAGAAAAAAAAGAGACAAAAATTAAATATTTAGAAAAGTAATAATAGTGAGTAAGTAGAAAAGAAAAACAATATTTAATGTATACTATGTGCTAAGCACATTGAAATCTGTTTTACATGACTTATTTAATACTCGTAATTCTATAAAGTAAACACTATTTCCGATGAACTAATGATGGAGAGAATAAAGAATACCAACACAATGAGTGGAGAAGCAGGGCTTTCAACCTAATCCCATCCAACTCCAGAGTTTAGGCTCTCTTTAGAGTATGCCATAGTTCAATGGCTGGTAGAAAGAAATGTAAGGAGCACTTTGGTCAAAATTAAACCATGGGTTTATCTTTTCAGTGCATGATTTGGGAAGGTCACATAGTCTGTTAAATTCAATTAATCTGTTAAAGATAACACCGAGATAAAAACCACAGGGGTGTTGTGAAAATTGAGTGAACAAAATAAAGGAATTCTTAACATTATTGCCAAGAAAGGATTTGTTAATCCACAATAAATTTGCACATTTATGAGTAATCTTAAAACATAAGATTACATAGTACTCATTAATTTTAATTTCTACCTTAGTTAGAAGACCTACATACAGTTCAAAAAAGGCTAGAGTAAAATCAAAACTTAAAATATAGCTGCAGCTCACATCTTTCTTAGATAACTGCCATTTATGACAACCCATACCTGTTTCCAAAGTAGATTAAACCAAAGCAGTGGTTCTCAAAGCATGGTTTATCAATCCCTGGAGGTCCTTGAGACTCTTTCAGAGAGTCTGGGAAATCAAAACTACTTTAATAACAATACTAACATGTTATTTGTTGTTTTTGCCATGTTGACATTTATCTAATGAAGGAAAGGCAACGGTGGGTAAAACAGCTATCCCCTTAGCATGAATCAATTTGTAGTAGCAGTTATGGTATTTTTCATCACTGCACACTGGCAGATAAAAGCCAGTTGCTCTTCATAAAGTAATTAAAAAATTCTTATTTTATTAAATTTTGACCCTTGAGTACACACGTGTTTAATATTCTTTGTGACAAAATGGAAATATGCATAAGGCACTTTGGCTGCATCTTGATATGTAACGGCTGCCTTACGGAAAAGCATTTGTGTGACTGTGTTGCAAGCTGAACTAGACATTGTTTTTAAGGAGAAGCATCATTTTCTTGAAAGAATGACTAACAAACAAACTAGTTATTCAGACAATGGCTACCTTACATTTCCTCAGACATGAGCTAAGTTGTGCCTATCACTTCCAGAATAAGAGATTTCAAGTGAAAATTGAGATTTTGAAAAACCTATTTTCTACTGTGAACCTAACGGCTTTCCAATTTAAAGACTGATTAATCAGTTGGTAACACTAAGTGATTTTTTTTTTTTTTGGTGTTGTACAATAAACTGCTCCAACATTTGCAAGATGTGCAAACTGAGGTAATGAACTTTCCAAATAATGCAAGACGTTACCAATCGTGCATGAGTAAAAGATCCAAAGTACAAAACAGAACAGAGTTTTATGTAAGCATACCCCAAATTTAATCCTATGATTTAAGATTACATGGGGCAGCTAACTTTTAAGAACGGTTAGTTTATTACTCTTTGAGCTTTGTCATATTAAAGCACAACATCCTCAATGATCTAAAAAGGCTATTAAGTATTGGTCTTAACCATGTATCTGTCAGAGGCTGTATTTTCTTCAAATTCTTCAACCAAAACAACATAGCACAACAGATTAAAAGCAGAAACAGCTATGAGGATTCAGTTGTCTTCTATACATATTTTGCCAGACATTAACGACATCTGCAAATTGAAAACAATGATACTATCCTTTTTGGGAAATATTTTTTCACAAAAATCTTATTTGTTCTTACATGTAATAGATTTTTTAAATAAATTAATACATTTTATTTTTGTTTTTAGTATGGTAAATATTGATAGATATAACCTACTGAAACAAAAGCTCTTTGGAATCCTTAATCATTTCTAAGAGTCTAAAGGAGGTCCAATTGAGAACCACTATTCTAGAAGGCAAGAGAAAACAACTCCTGACTTCAATTTTCATCTACAAAGTTTAACCAGAGAAGAGACAAAAATTATGGAAACTTTAGGCAAATAGAAGGTCACAAGGAAAACCAAGAAATCACGAAGATCATAAACCTGGAGGACATCATGTTATGTGAAATAAAAAAGGCACAGAGACAAACATCTCACGATCTCAAATGTGTAATCTACAAAGGTGGAAATCGGAAATCACAGAAGCAGAGAGTCCCTAGGGGTTGAAGGTGGTTGGGGAGATACTGGTCAAACGGCACAACATTTTAATCAGACAAGAGGAATTCTATCCTACAACACAGTGACTAAAGTTAATAACAATGCACTGCATACTTGAAAATTACTAACAGCAGATTATTAAGCGTTCTCACCACAAAGTATCTGAGGTAACGCAAATGTTAATCAGCTTCATTTAGCCACTGTAGACACATTTTGAACATCATACTGTACACCGTAAGTATACACAATTTTTACTTCTCAATAAATTAAAAATCACTTTAATGAGAATAAAAAATAGTAGGAAGATTTCAGATCTCAAGACTAACCAAAAACTGTATTCCTCATTAAGCTACAATTCAAACTCAGAGCAGCACATTTTATGTAAACAACTTTAGGCTGCCTTAAACCTGTATTTAAGAACTCAAACGTACTTCAAAATGACAACACTATATTTAACACCATTACTGGCAAAATCTACAGTGTCATGAATCTCTGTCATGCTCCTTCGTGTTGCATATATTATTTTTATTAGTTTTTGCAAATAATTGGTGAAAAAAGAAAAGCAAAGGGGAATGTTCCAAAACCTAGATTCTGGCTAAATGTTTTCAAGAAAGATAAGTTGGGCAAGTGCCTAAAACGTACATATAACTTCTGCCTACTTAATAGTATTAGAAATTATTGAATTCCGTTGTGACAAGTTAGGTTCTTCACAAACTTTGATAACACAGTTAACCAGTGGAGTCAACTGATGGTGAAAACGAAGAACTTCCAAACTGTATAGGACTGTTTTTTCTCCCCTAAGGAGTCCAAAAGCTAGACACAGGCAGCGGGCAAGTGCTCGCAGGCTAGCTGTTTACTCGCTCACCACCTTCAGGACATGACTGCATGGCCAGTGGTCGGCAGCAAGTTATAGAACCCCTAGAGAAGGATCCAGAGATCCCGCGGCCCCTTCCCGCCCCGTGCCGTCACCTCCCCGCTTCACCGCGTCACCTTGGACGCCGGAGCCTTCGTCCGCGCGGGGAGCCGCTTCCGTGGCGCGTCGGGAGCTCGCCCAGACTCGTCCCCGGCCCCGAGGCCCCCGAACCCGGTGGGGCCGTCCCGCCACCTGCGCGCGGCCTTCTCCAGAGGGCGGCCCTTCTTCCGCGGGGCCCGGGGCCGCAAGTTCCCTCGACGTCCCAGGCTCAGCAGGCGACTCCTCAGCGCCATCGCTGTCGCTGGAATCGGCCGCGCGCCGCCGAAAATTCCTTTTCGGTCTGTGAGCCATGGCTGAGGGCGCACCGCCCTAGTACCCAGCGAACCCCAAGGCGGAGGTTCAGCGCTCGCGCCCAGCGCGCGCCCCCGCCTCGCCTGGACGCCGCGTGCGCGCGCCCGTGCCGCTAGCCTTCTACTTCCCGCTTCTCTGTTTGCGCCTGCGTGTTTTGTCTCCCTGGATCTAGCAGGTTGGGTTGTGTTCTGGGGCCTGAGTGTGGCGTCTGGAGCGGCAAAGCGGTCCCTTTGCCAGGTGAGGTTGCGTGGACTGACACCTAGAGATTTCCAAGGCCTCTCCAGGCTGAGTCTCACGGAGAGCAGACCTTACGTGCTCTCCCTGTGCACACCCTATCCAGGAATCGGCGTTATGCTTTCCGTCCTGGACTGGAGCCAGATCCGTTGCCTTTTTTTGCTTTCCAGAGAGAGGGCCCCTTCAACCAAGATTTAAAACAAATGAAACCCCAGTAGTGTGAGACTCGGGGTAGGAGGAGATGCCTCTGAGAGCGAAAGAGTATGGTCTGTACGAAAACAATGCATACAGACTAGCCAAAATCAGTGACTTCCCCCAGGCCGCAGGGCTTCAAGAGAACCTGATTAAATACTTTCACCCTTGAAGAAAGTATCTAAAAGCAAAAAAAAGGCTATTGTCTGAGGCGAATTTGTACTATACTCATTAAGCTGTGTCTAGAGAAAGGAAGCCTCTACCATGAATTTTCAGTGGTTGACCCCCTTGGTAAAATCTGTTATTTGGATGCCTCTGACTGTCTATACTGGAGCAATTCATCCAATTCATTTATCCCTCTTGGTGCAGTTGGTTGCATGCTCAGCTACGTTTCTGCCTCTGCTTTAGAGTACTAGATGTTCCAAGGTCTTCTCAGAAGGGGATATTTTAAGGGATTAAATTTCCAGACCCTCAGCTTTGTTAAAAGAAAAACCTTAAACAAATTAAATTTAATGGAGTTTAATTGAGCAAAGGTTGGTTCACAAATCACAGTCCCCCAAACCAGAATAGGCTCAGAGCAGCGCCACCGCAGCCAGCCACCTAGTGGAAGATTTATGGATGGAAAAAGGAAAGTAATGTACAGAAAACAGAAACTAAATATGATCTGAGAAGGACTCTGTACTTCTATATGTGAATCCTTGTGGAGGAATGTTTACCTCACTAAACAGTGTGAACCCCCAAAATTCGAGACAGGTCTCAATTTAGAAAGTTTATTTTGCCAGGGTTAATGACATGTGCCAGTGACACAGCCTCAGGAAGTCTTGATGACATGTGGCCAAGGTAGTCAGGGCACAGCTTGACTTCATACATTTTAGGGAGACATGAGACATCAATCAATATATTTAAGATGTACATTGGTTCCTTCCAGAAAGGTGGGGACAACCCAAAGCAGGGAGGGTGTTTTCAGCTCACAGGAAGGTGTGAGACAAATAGTTGCATTATTTTGAGTTTCTGATAAGACTGTCCAAAGAAGACAATCAGAATATGCATCTATCTCAGTGAGCAGAGGAATTACTTTGAATAGAATGAGAGGCAGGTTTTGCCCTGAGCAGTTCCCAGCTTTACTTTCCCCTTTAGCTTAGTAATTTGGGGGCACCAAGATTTTCCTTTCACAGCAGGTAGACAAGATTGAAAACCTAACTTAGAAGTAAGCACGTGTACCTAGCTCAGTCTTGGCCAATCCCAGCAGCCGTACTTCAATCACTCGTACACTGTTGAGTGTTCAAACAGTTCAAATGAGGCAAACGCCAACCTGTAACCATTCCAGCTGATTCTGCACCTCACTTCTGATTTCCGTACATCACTTCCCTTTTTTTTTTTTTGGTCTATATATTTGTTCTGACCACTAAACATCCCTGGAGTCTCTCTGAATCTGCTATGATTCTGGAGGCTGCCTGATTCATGAATCTTTGATTGCTCAATTAAACTCTTTTAAATTTAATTCAGCTGAAATTTTTCTTTTAACAGAAGTGAAGTACAGAAACAGCCAGATGAGTTACAGCTTACTGTTTGCTTTATTTGAACATGGTTTGAACAGTTGGCCAGCTCTGATTTGCTAAAAGTAAATGTTTGGTGTTTGGCACAACCATGGTGTATTGATAAGAGGGAATTGAGAGGAGTGTCTTCTAAGATTTAGGCTTGTGCTAGATTTTAAGGAGAGCTAAGAGAAGCAGGGCCAGATTTGTATTGTATAGTGTCAAAGAATAAGTAGGTTGCAGTTTCTTTACACACCCAGTTAGGTTCTAGTTCACTAGGTAGGGAGAAACCTTTAGGCTGAACTTAGAATATGTAAGGAGGCAGCTTTAGGTTAAACTTGATTTAACAGCTTGCATATATATTCTTTGCTATAACTGGTTTGCCTGAGAGCCACTGTATTCATGCTGCCCTTCACAAATGTAGTGTTCTTTTCTTCTTCCAAAGGAGAGGCATAATTCTGTGTTCATCCTGAATATACTAAAGTACATACTATGTGTAAAAATCTCTGCAACATCTGACATTTTGTTGTCTAGATGACAAATAAATAACTAATGTTTTCATTACAGTCCTCCTGCAAAGCAGGCAGTTTCCAATGTTTTGCTTTCAACAAAATTGGAGGACCAAATCCAATGGTCAGCTGACCATTCAAAATAATTTTTGATGATGAATCAATGTGATTTTTGCATACAATTCAGGAATTCTAAAAAATGAATGATATTGAAAAGACATACTTTTTCATATGTGGAGAGTTTTCTCAGTGCTTACATAATATAAAATTAAAATGCAATAGTATAATTGACAATGAATAATAACCTAGCAATAAGTAATAGCTATCTATGAATACATGAACTAATATGGGAGGAGCTGTGTTTGTCATTAAGAGACATCCCTCCCTCCCTCCCTCTCTCTCTTTTCTTTTCTTTCCTTCCTTCCTTTCTTTTTCTTTCTTTCTCTCCCTCCCTCCCTTCCTTTTCTTTCTTTCTTTTCTTTTCTTTACTTTTTTTCTTTTCTTTTTTTGACAGTCTTACCCTGTTGCCTAGGCTATAGTGCAGTGGCATGATGTCTGCTCACTGCAGCCTCTGCCTCCCAGTTCAAGTGATTCTCCTGTCTTAGCCTCCCAAGTAGCTGGGATTACAGTTGTGCAGCACCATGCCTGGCTAATTTTTTGTTTGTTTGTTTTTTTAATAGAAACAGGGTTTCACCTAGTTGGCCAGAGTGCTCTCTAATTCCTGGCTTCAAGTGATCTGCCCGCCTCAGCTTCCCAAACTGCTGGGATTACAGGCGTGAGCCACTGTGCCCGGCCAAGAGATGCATTTTCAACAAATATTATATTTGCTTAAAAAATTGTGATGTATTTATATTGTGTTAAGTGTACCTATTGTTGAAACCACCAGGTAAAGGCTACAAGGAGAATACCAAGTCAAAGTTAGATTTACTTAGCTTTTCCAAGTAGAGGAGAGTACAGACCAAGGAAACCATGGGGTATTGGTAAGAGGGAGTTGAGAGGAGTTTCTTCTAAGATTTGGGCTTGTGCTAGATTTTAAGGAGAGCTAAGAGAAGCAGGGCCATATTTGTATCGTATAATGTCAAGAAGCTATATAGTTTAACAATTGGGTACCTTAGTAATTCTGTTAAAGAAATGAGAAAAACAGAGGAAGGAAGTGGAGTTTGGAAGTCATTAGTAAGAAAGTAGCAATCACTTCAAAATACTTCTTAGGTCTTGGCTTCCAGCAGAGCTGACTTTCTCATTATTGATAATTGTAAAGATAACTAAATCTAGGACATACATATACATTTTTATGGGAAAATATAGATTGATCAATGAAGAACTTTCAAGTATAAGCTGATTTCTATAGATTGATGAATGAAAGACTTTCAAGTATCAACTATATTTTATTAGGTAAAATGTTGTAGGGAATAGAAAAATGAATTCAAGGAGAAAAAGCAATGATGCAAATGGTTTGTACGTTTATTAAGTGAATGATACTGAGTATTAAATAGGTTTGACATTTAGGTTATATTGTATACATTTAAATGAGTAATATAATTTTTTAAAAATAAGTCCCAACATTGCATTCTTTCACCAGAAATTGCATTCTTTGCAAATGTCCAAACTTAGAGATGTCTACCTAAAAAGATGCTGGGATAGTATATTTTTTAAATCCCTGAAACAGTATACATGCAGAAAGGTGTGAAACCACCATCGCAGATGACCATTACCAACTCTATCTTCTTTATACTGACTATGGATGCCCAGTTTCTCAAAACACATTTCTTGTGCAGTCTCTTAGGAATACTATTTTAATAATTGCTTGGAGGATAGAGTCATAGATAAAATAGGGATTGCAGTACGTTTTAGGGGGTATACCCAACCAATAAGCCAATTTTCCTACAGAAACTTCTTTTCTATTAGGTTTCTATAGCCAGGTTCACCTCCTGGGACATGGCTAACAGGGTCAAAAGAGACACCACAACCATGGTAGACGGATTAGAGCCTTTCTCTAGGAATGTCTGAGCTACGAAATACTCTTTAAGTGGTAAGCTGGAGTTGGCTCTTGTGGACTCTGGATGGCTATTTGCAAAATGTTCAGAAATTGTAGGAGCCAGTTGTTTAACACAGTCATCATTAAACATTAAATTATATCATTTACTTTTTAAAGGATATTATGAATAACAGTAATAAATCCTCAAAACTCATCACTTCCTTTTACTATTAACTCTTACTGTTATCTATGCTCTTGAGGTTTATGTCTACTGTGTCTCTATGGTAGAAATACTATATAATGTTGAGCTACTGCACACCTGTAACCAACTCCATGTTTGATGGTATCATATTGGCAGCTTGAAATCAGCCATAATAGGAGTACTTATGCCACATAAATTGGAAGACCTTACAAGTCCGGGTGTTTCTCCCAGATATCCAGTCATTAAACATTTACCATCATATCACTCACTTCATCAAAGGCATAGAGAAAAGGCAAACTCTCTCTGATTGATCTGGCCCCAGAATTCTTTTTTTCTTGACTTTTCTCAATAAACTGATACCTCTTGATATAAATTTGGGAAATTATCTGATACAGTATTATCAATTATTCACAATTTATTATTCTCTTATAAAGAGAGGCTTCTCTTTTTTAATGCAGGTAAAATTAGATAACTACTACTTGATGTTTTTCTTTAGAAAATTGGCAAATGATGTGCAAAGGATATTTCTGAAGAATAGAGATACTTGTGATA